GCCCATGCCATCTGACAACAGGCTAGGAACTGGAACACCCTCGACAGGTCGTGTCGGTGGTGTAAAATGTACTTTTTTTTCAGCAGATTTCTAAAGCTTCTCATGAGATACTCATCATTTATGAGTTAAATAAAGTTGCCCTGTTTTGTCTCTGTCAGGTCTGACGTTTTAAAATGTTTTTTTTTAAGTAAAACAATATTTAGGCTACCAGAACCAAAACAGCCTGCTTCAAGGTTTTCAGTTGTCACGAAACTCACAGCCAACATGTCGGAGCCCGGTCAGGAGTACCTGAATGCAGCTTTACAACCAGACGTCTCTTCTTACGACGCACCCTGTGACGCACACGCGTTTCCAGTCCTTATTTGGAAAGGGAAGCGAAACTGTCTGGCGTCCACCCAGTGTTTTGCTGAACTTTGTGACGGACAGGCAGAAAGCAAAAGTAGGAAGGCTAATAAAAATACAGAAAGCCCCGGGATTTTCTTTAAGCATTTCCAAGAAGCCACACATTTAGTAATACTTTGACAGATGTTGTCATATGTTGATATAAAAGGCCTCATAGCAGACAAAGCTGGTTAATTTAAGTGGATAATCTAATTCAAATCATTTTTATTTTTGTGGTTTTTCAATTCAGTTTAAGCCTTTATTTTATTCAAAGCCAGCAGTAGTCTATTTTTGGTCTGGTCTTGTGAGGTCCTCCGATTTGCCAAAAATATTCCGGAGTTATATTCATAAACACAGCTGTAGAATTTGTTTACAGCCAGAGTTATTGTAACTCCACTTCTTAAGATTCAAATACATCAATCATCCTCCAATGTAGCTCATGAGCAGCAGAATAAACTGGTGCGCTTTAAGGTATTTACTCCATAAACAAAGGCTCAGATACTTCCCATCTAAATACTATTTTCAATATGAAAGTTAATATGAAACGTAAAAAGTGTTTTTGATGGTCAAAGCGATTTTTTATCTTCAAGAAAGGAATTTATTTTTACCTATAATAAAGTAAAGTCAAATTATTAGAGATATGCCTTTAAGAAAAAGGAAGCAAATACAAACACAAATTAAATAAAAGATCTGTGTTGCTTGTTGGGCCTACCAACCTCAGTCTCTGTTATTTGACAGCTATACGATCACGTTCTTTTGTCGGATAAAACATGGGTTCTGCTAATCACACCATCAAAAACACAGAAAGGCTTAATAGGAAGTACTTTTTTTGTCCTATTTCGTCAAAATGAAAGCTACTATAAAACATAAAAAGTATTTTTGATGGTCAAGGGATTTTTTCTTGAAGAAATTAGTTAGATTTTTACTTTCAATAAAGTCAAACTATTACAGATACAATAAAATGTAACAAAAAGATCTGTGCTGCTTGTTGCCTACCAACCTCAGTCACACCTCATTAACCTCATTGAATAACATTCTGATGGAGGGATCGCGTTCTTTCATCAGAGGCCTACCACGATAAAGACTTTTCCTCCGCTGTAGGCACAGATGTCATAACAACAGCCCAGAGTGCGAAAAAATACAAACCACATCCTGCACCATCTCATGGTAGCGTGTTTCCTCGTTCTAAGAACAAAACATGACTCTTGCAAACCTGCTTTTATAAACAGGAAGAAGTGAAGAAGCAATTGAAAATAAAACCCGTTTCCATGTAAACTGATTACTTTTCCTCAGTACTGAAGCTGATCTCAACAATGCGGCCTTTGATTAGCAGGTTTACACCCATCAAAGCATGACCAGACAGGTTCGAGTAGCTGTGTGAGGCCAGGTTTTAGGCATGTGTGGGACAAAATGATTTACATTTGAAAAAAAACATCATAATTTGCATTATGGTATCCCCAAATTTCCTTTGGATTGAAATATTTTCATATGCATTTAAATACAGTAAGAGAAACACTGGATTAAGTCACCATGAAACTTTCAGGTTAAATTTTTAATTAAAATACGAATTTATCCACAGATTAAAAATGAAAGGCAGAAAAAGCAAAATGTAGCTACAGTCAGGCACCAATGATACATGTTATTTAATCATTGTAACAATTGCGATAACGCAACAATAACATTATTTACTAATCATTATTTAATATTTATTTATTCAAATGAAGACAGGGGTGGACCAAAGCAGCCCACCAAAGACATTCATGGATTCTCCATAATAGATAACTGAGTAAAGACCAAAGCTGATCCTATCCCCCCCTTCCCTCATGATACTTCTCTTAATACCTCACAAGAACTGAAGAATCTTTTAAAAAATTGCAAAGTCCACAGGGGAAGAAAAAAATAAAAACAAACAACAACAAAAAAAAATCACAAATTCAGTCAGAAATTGGGAGTAAGATGAGAGTGGCTTTTAATATCAGATACGCTAGCGGTTTAAGTGGAAGTAGGGAGTGATTAACCACACACACGAGTACTTTGTATATCACCATTAGCCCTGAAAAACAGACGATGAAGCCGATGCAAAGAAAACGAACGTTAGCGACGTGCTGGAACGACATCTGGGCTACGCTGCAGAGTAGCCACAGGACTCCACGAGACACGGATGTGGTATGAAACGCAGTTTAACAAGAGTTAAGACATCCCACTCTGTGGTGGACATGGCTTGGCAAGACATTCCGGCACTTGTGATTGGAGTTTTCTTGAAATAAGGGGGTTTGTTTTAGGGTGGGGTGGGGTGTGGGTGGGTAGGGGGGGTGACTAAGGCTGGACGCTTCATTCACACAACTACAATTGCTGCACTGGGTGCTGCTTTGAATCCGCACCAGGAGTAGATCCAGCAGGTGCCCTCAGCACCCACGAAGAGGGAAAAGAGAAATGGGAGGACCGGATCGGACATCTACGGCGGCCGATCCCGGTCAGGGAAGAAGTAAACATCTTTGGAGTGTAGTTGTTGTGATCAAGCTGACATGAGTGTAGCAACATCGAAAGATTGGTTAGAATATGGCAACTTCTCCACCAGTGGTTTTAAGGTCCGGGTGATAAGAGAGTGGAGGCGAGTCTCACAACTTCGGAATCTCAGTATGGGAAGAGGCCCTGACAGCCAAAAGTCGTGAGATAAAGGTAACGAGAAACCCTGACACTGTACACATGTGGAAACAGTGACCTCTGACCCTGTTTAAGACTGCAGAGGACAGACGGGACAGATTACAGCTCTACCAGCCTTTACACTCTACCACTGAAGGAGATCAGGTCATATAAGATCACAGTCAGAGATTAACAATCGGAACAATAACTGTCCTCGTGCTGTCTGTATAGAAATCCATGATATTCATGCAGTATTAACATAGGAAACAAAAACAGACCGATATTATTTCTTCTTAACACAAATAAACTGATTTTTTTTCCCAAAGAACTTGATGAGAATGGCATCTGGCAGTTGATGTGTATCTTTACATTGTATACGGGGATGTAAACAGATTTATTTTAGCCTGACTGGCGTGGCCCCAAACCCACACTTCAGCTCCTTTTTACACCCCAAAAAACTCCCAAACTCCTCCGTCTGTTTCTTTCTCCCCTCTGTCCTCAGTCTGTAGCTCTGCTGTGGGGTGAGCGTTCAGCGGATGTACACGTCCCTCCCCCAGTCGTCCTGGTTCTTGTTGCGGGCCAGGCTGGCCCCCGTGTCGGCGGGGTCCTGGCAGTAGCGCTCCCTCAGCTTGGCGCGGCCGTGCGGCGCCGTCTGACTGGGCGCCGGGGGGTGGTTCAGGTTCTCCTGGTCCGGCTCGGCGCCCTCGTCCTCCCAGGAGGCCTGCCGGCCGTGGTGCTGGGCCAGGTGCAGGCGGCTGCTGTTCCCCCCCCCGCCGCGGTAGGGCTCGGGCTCTTCGTAGGGGTCGGTCTCGATGTCCATGCAGGAGTCCCCCGCCTCGGTGTAGGCCGAGTCCCGGCTGCCCTGGGTCTCAGAGTCAAAGGTGTCCTGCCGGGACAGGCCCCGCCCGCTGCCCCCCCGCAGGTGGCCGCGGGACGAGCGCAGGTAGGCCTGCTGCTGCTGCTGCTGCTGCTGGGGAGGCTTTCCGCCCAGGTCGGCCTGGTAGTCGCGCAGAGAACCGCCTCCGCCGCCACTCTCGGTCAGACCCCCCTCTCGCTTCTGCTCCCCGTGCACCAGGTACCCTGGACCCTGCAGCGAGCCGCGCCCATGCCACACACAAAAACCATGCAGAGACACAAACGAAAAGACCAGGCTGTCAGTGTTTAGTCAGCAGGGTTAGCAAACTGAACAGAGAAGAAAGCACAGCACTGGCCGGGGGTTAGCAGTTAAAAAGGGGGGGGGGGAGTCGAATTCAGGTCACACAGATTCCAAATGTTTGTGTTCGTGTGCACGCTCAGATTACAAGCCACGACTCGCTTAGTAGATCAGATTAATCCTGCTAAGATATGATGTAAAAATGTGACATTATGCACACATAAAGGCAAACCCAGCCTGCACTGAACATGCTCATCAGAATGTCTACCACTGCAACAGCGCCCTCTGCTGGCCGCATTTACTCACAGCAAAACAAGGCAACCAAAAGTAAATGGATGTTAAAATAAGTTGAGGTGAATTACAAACCAATTTGCCATACAAATTACTCATATGTTCTGTTTTGCGTTTACATTTGTTGCCCTTGTCTGCCTGTGTAAAAATGCTAGACTTCCATTTCCCGGTTGCCATGCTGTCACTGATTAATATATTTGACGGCCTGCATCTCATTATTGTTAATGAGTAACCCGTAAGGACTGATGCATAAACAAAACCAATTAGTCTTGTGTTGTTATCTTTATGATGGACTGATTAAAGTGGACAGAGTGTTAGAGAGAGCCTCCACCAAACTAAGTCGTTCTGTTTGAAGAGGCGGACATGACTTGCTGGTTTCAGGGGCGGTACCATGGCAACACAGAGAAGGACTGCAAACCGAATTCATTCTCTTGGAGAGGAAAAAAAAAAGGGCTGGAGAAATTAGGCCGTAGAGCTAACGAGGGCCGGGCGGGGGCAGTAAATGGAGAGGGCATCGCTAGCAGGGGTGCCGGGTCCAGACATTCCAGTTGTGTTGCTTTCACAGCTTTGAAAAGGCGCATGGAGGAAAGTGCCTAACAATTAAGATAAATATATAAAGATTCTACTTGTACTTCTTCTTAAATGAACCCTTCGTGTGTGGGGGAGTGGCTCCTTTTGGCACAGCTGTGTGTCAGTTCCCTAAAAAGGGCATTGATGTGTTTTCATACACAGAATAAATAAGGCTTAAATAAATTCTTCTTTCATTTTTACAAGGCTTTCTGAGTCAGGGACAAGTTGCCGGAGTGTCCCCCCCTAACCCCCCACCCCACCCCACCATCTCCAGGTTGAGCTTCAGACAGCGTGCTCCTCCTCCTTGCCCTCGCCGGTGGCCACCACAGCACCGTCCAACTCGGGCCACAGATCCAGATTCCGGCGCAGGGAGGTGAGCACCTGTACCTGCAGGTTGGAGACGGGCTCGGGGGAGGCGGCCAGCGCCGCGGTGGCCATGGTGCGGTTGAGCAGCGGGTTGGGGGGGTTGCTACTCGGGGGGTGCGTGGCCTTCCAGTACGCCTCCAGGTAGTCGGCCAGGTGTTCACACGCGTCCTCCAGCTGGTTCTCGTCCAGGATGATGTCGAACAGCTCCTGCACCGACCCCAAAGTAAACATTTCAGTCAAAGATTTCAGCTAAATAACAACTAGCGCAGTTTGACGGAGAGGAACTCACGGGTGGGCACTGAGCCAGTTTATCTGCTGCGACCATCTGCACGTTTAAGTGTTTAGCCTGGGATTTCCCCCTGGATTTGATGAGCCTCTGGAGAACCTGCAGAGAATCAACGGCACAGCCATCTAAAGCAGTGGTCAACTGCTCCTCAGGAGACAGCCTCAGATCTCAAACCGTTGGGGCCAGTGACTAAAATGTAATTAAAATTCATCTATAAATTTGTCAGTTTCTTGAAAAAAATAACTGCTCATCTTGAATTTGATGGCACTGACTCGTCTCAAAAAGGGTTTGTAAGGGGTGGCAGATGTCTGGGACAGCAAGTGTCACTAAAAAGAAACAGTTGGAGGAGCAGGCTGCTAATTTGGTTAAGAGGCAAACTGCAACGCCTCTGAAGAAGTGCATTAATCAACACTGGTGAATAAACACAAGACATCAAAATGCCTTTGATTTATTAGGAAATCCGGAGGATTGTTAATCTTGACTAATTTACATCCAAAATGCCATCTGTTGCCTTACCTTGGGCGAGGCGATTTTAATATAAACAATAATGGGAGCCAGAGATGTCTTAGCCAGCTGGGAGGGGTGGTTGATGGTGTCTGCGTCGAGAGCAACAAGCTGGAGGGTGCGGGCCAATTCGAAGATCCTCTCGATCTCACTCTGCACCTCCGCTGCGCGGCCCAGGAAACGACAGCAAAAAAACGGAAATACATCGAAAGAGTAAACACACGGCGAATGAGCTGCTCTCCTCCTGTGTCAGCAACACGTCCGTAACTTTGTGCACAAGTACATAACCGGCATGTTAGTACTTACTCATGCAAGACTAATTCTGAGAAGGACAAAAAAGAAATCCAAGCATATGAATTAGACTGATTGGACCACAGTTGAAGTTCCATTTATGCAAAGCTAAATGGAGCACTGCGGCATCCTCATTCAGTTGCCACCTCCAGACATGTCAGATTTCTGCGTCTGATTGCTGTTTTAAATTCAAAATGTTACGGAAAGGAGGCATTTGGAAATGAGATGCCTGCAGCTATAGCTCACAATAAAATAAGGCCACAATTTCTCACTAACAACAGAAAGGACCACAACTTATGCAAACAACACGGAGCATCAGATTTTTGTTAGCGCCGTTAAAGGGTTATTCCCTCACGTGAGCTCCTCACGTCTGCGGGTTTTCAGTGTTCCTCGGCAACAGCCTATAGGCGCTTATTGCTCGGTGCTTCAAACTCAGCTCAACTTTTTTTTTCTTTTTTTTTTTTAAATCGGCGTGTACAGTGAAAGAAGATTAGGAGCTGAAGACCAGAGCGCTCCTCGCCTGCCCGGTCAAACATCAGCGCCTCCACGGTGCGCGAGCTGCCAACCAACACGGTGGCAGAGGGAGATAACGGGGGCAATCTGCAAAGAGATGCTGCCAGCAGCACACATCTCAGCAGCCTCCACAGGCCGCCGGAGCCACGGCGAAAGCCGGGGGCGAGACGGGGCCTCTGCTGCTCGATAAGAAACGTGAACTCCAACTCAAAATACAGAACCTGGCGAAAGTTGTCACTGACTTCGACAACGAGCTGGATTTTTTTTTCTGTGAATGCGAATGCAACTATGGAGAAAAACGTACCGAGTTTATAAAATGAGGCCCTGCTTCTTCAGAGTGCTGAGATACGATCGCAGCTGTGTATTACAGGGACTGTGCTGTGGCACCAGGGGTCACAATATAGAGGGAGCAGCAACATGTGAACGGACCCTCTGCCCATTTCCGCTTCCATGCGCAGAGCAGCATCGCCAGCTGCTCCTTCCCCCTCCTACAGATCTCTTTCTGCTTGGGTTTTGTCATTCTTTCCTTTTTGTTAAGAGACTACAGGCTGTCACACAGATGTATGAGGAACAGGGAAATTGACAAGCAAGCAGACAGGCAGACAAACAATGTATGAGCAGAGGATGAATATAGTTAGAAGAAAAAGGGGGAGGAAGGAGGAGGAGCGGCATCATTGTTTTTTGTTGCAAGGAGCGCATACGTACCCAGTACGTCTGAATCAAAAGACAGAGGAGGAGGAGGATGGGTGGTGGGAGAACAGGGGGGGGGGATGGGTGAAGGGCAGAAAAGACAGGATGAAAAGAGAGAGGAGGCCAGATCAGACTCAATCAGAGCAGGTATAAAAGCTTGTAGGTCTTTTGATGAGAAACAGTGTGGCCTCAAGTGTCCATCTGTCCATCTGTATCCTGCTGTCGTACCAGTTTCCAGGAAGTCCTTGGATTCGTCACAGGACATTGTGAGAGAATTCCATTGAAAATGTTGTCTTATGTTCTCATCTTTCTTACTGTGAAGACTCTAAAATGCATTGCAGGACCTTGTAGTGTGTGTTTTTGGCAAATTTATAGTTGCATCAAAGAACACTTCTCATCAGGAAGTCCAAACTCTATTATTTTTGAGCTTCAGTCTTCTTTTGCATCATTTGACTGGACAAATGTTGTGATAGATTTACCTTTACATGCATTTCTTTCCCTTTACTTTAAAACATAAACTCATATTCTAATCTACAAACTGAACTATCTCCAGAATAACACATAACAGGAAAGATGGAGATATTTCTCCCACCATTAATAGAAAACTCAGTTATAGAAAACTCAGTTCTGCAAAGTGTGTTCTGCTAAAAAAAACAAAACTTATTTGCTTTTTCAGTACTGGATCTAAATGCTACTTTAAGCAGCTGCTAACTTCTGAATGTTTGAGGCTGAGCATATCTGCCTATCTTCGTGTAATAAGGAAACATCTGAAGAAATTAAGATATGAACAACAGACAGTGGAAGATGTTCAACAAGGCAACAAGATGAACAAAAATATTTCAGTGATTTTCTCTCTCTCCGCTGCACCGGCCCATCTCTAACCGGTAATTATAACCCAACTTTTGTCTCGTCTTGTTTGAATGACATCCTCTCAGATTTTTAAAGAAGCTTGTCTCACCCAGGCTGGAGCGAGTGCTGGAGCGCTCGATGATGGTGTGTTTGCTGGGGTTGTTAAGGACTGAACGCTTGGCCAGAGAGATGTCCGCCGTCACTCGTGTGATGGATATCCTGAAAGAGAGCGACAGCGTGTTATTGGGATAATAAAACGGAGAGCTATCAAGTTAAATGCTCTATAAAGTATATATTTAAACCCTCATCCTTACCTGCCCTCAAACTTGTGTTTCAGAAAGTCAAAGAGGGCTTTCTGCATCATGTCTGTCACCTAGGGAGCAACACTAGACATTAGAGCCACACCACCAGAGGGAAATCAGGCGAGATGTCACATTTCTATCTGTACCTCGTAACCTTTGAGCGAAGGACCCACGAGAATGATGGGTCTCATGGAGGGAACCACATCATAGGGGGGGACGTGCTCCATCTGGACCGGGAAAAGACAGCACCGGCTTCAGGGGTGAGTCACTTTTTGACAGGTCACGTTTACACGTACACTCAACACACTTTCACAAAACACACGACGGTCAGAAGTCACACGGTTACGCTCGTGCTCCGGCTCCCATGCTCTCGCTCCCATGCCGGGAGTGACTCTGACGGGGGACTTCGGAGTCCATTTTGTTCTATTGAGTGCCTGTGAGTGCTCGGAGTACGGGATCAATTTTGAACTGAGAGCAGTGGCCTCTATTTCTAAGTCTGCAGCCCGGGGTAATTAAAATGTCCATAATTAAAGCAGACGCCGGGGTGTCAGGAGAGCTCCAGTGCCTGTGCTGCAGCTATTAACACAAACGTCATACTTCACACTTATCTTTTTTTTTTTTTTTGTTCTGGATGGGAACAGCCATTTAATCACTCGCACACCTACAGCTGTAGTATGATTTTAAAGTGCAAACATTCTGAAATACGGTTGTACAAATGTACGGAAAGCTGCCCTTCAAATAGTATATTTAATATTTACATCCAACTTGGATGTTTTTTTAAATGAATATAAATATGAACTATATCTCAAAAGCACTTTGCACAAAAAGCTAAGAAGCCCACACAAAGAAATACTGAACGCCCACGCACAAACACATTCCATACTGCGGCATATGAACTTTAGGCTTGTTTTTACATTATGAATCATGACAGGAATTACTCATCTATATGAGACCCATACGCATCCCCAGGCTTCAGAAACTATTTTCAGTTGGATAAAAACAGTCACATGTCTTCTACACTCGGACAAGAATGAAATTGGATGTTTTTTTTGTTTTTTTTTGTCTCTAGCTTTGTATCCTGAGCACGCCCACTCCACTGTGTGCGCTGTGCAGCACTTCAGGCTGCAGAAAGCACTGGAGTGACCCCTTCCACTACATTACGTTACATAAAGCTGAACAACGGAAGCTCATTTCACCTCATTTGTATTCACGCAAGCTAAAATTATATAGTTTAAAAGGTTCAAAATGGCTCTTGTCAGTAAAGGGGGCAAAGCTGGAGCACTTCATATAACAAAGCCACTAATTTATTGTGAATAACATATAGACGGAGCACAGTTTAGAGTGGTGAGGACGGAAGGATGATGCACATCAAATGTAACTAGAAGTTGACATATATATGTGTATATATGTATATATATATATGCATATATACACATACAATATATATATACATAGCAAAAATAATTGTAAAAAAGCCAATATTTTATAATTATTTTAATCTGTGTTTTAGTGGTTTTCAGTTCCAGGGAAAAAGCACATCTAATGAATCATCCTGCTCTTTGAGGCATTAACTAATTTGCTTCCAATTTCCCTTTTATATCCTACTCTGTGAGTCTAAATTTAAACAAAAACACCAGCAGAGCAGATGCTAAATGGTGCACAGCGCTTGCTCGGGCTGACTATATCAGAAGAATCCTGGCTTTCCGATGTGTGGTTTCTGTTTCTGGAAAACAGGCTGAATTAAGGGGCATTTTTCTAGATTATTCACACCAACTTTGATAGATAAAAGCCATCAAGCATCATATGACGTTTTGAATACTCTACAAACCCGCACTGAGCAGATACTGTGATACGACGTGTCCATATCTCTTACTCATACTACATTGCTACCATTGCCTACTGAGCTTTAATTGTGTCGAGAGGCACAAAAACAGCCAAATGTGGCCCCCTGTCACCGAAATGAGCTATCATGAATTAAAATGAGAGCTTGTCGGGATGCATTACGGTCACACTCTGACTAACGGGGTCTGGGACGGATCTGCACCTGCATCCTCACACTGACAGCTGTAATACCAGCTCAGGGGAAGAGACAGCAGCGTCTCCACGACTCCCAAGCGATTCTCTGCATTCTTTTTGGCTCCGGACGTGTATTTGGAAGCACGAGCGGCTGAGGGACCATCACAAGCTTCCACATGACAAAACAGAGAGGACCACGAGCAACGAGATGAACTGTTAGATGTTAGTGTCAAAAACAAACCACACTCACCGACTTCTGTTTCTGTTTAGCTGGGCCACCTACAGAATCATTCCACATAAAAGCGAGAAAAGACAACAAAAAAAAAGAAAAGAAAAGAAAAAAAAGCACAGAACACAAGAGCACATTTAGTTATTGACAGGTTAGGATTAGAGGGAATTGGGAGAGGAGCTTCTCATTGATTAGAGTTTACACAGACTGCCTCCCTTTGAAACACTATTATCAGCAGCGGCAACCATCATCATCAGTTAGTTCGATGCTTTTCCAAGCCAATCAAGCACAGAAAAACACATCCAAACATGTCTGAGCATAACCCTCCAGAGTGGAGCCCGAGGAGCCAAACAGAGTTAGATCTGGGAGCTACGGTGGCAGCAGGGAGGGTTACGTTGTGAGCGGTTAGTGAAAGATCGGGAGGGGAAGCAGACATTACACCCGACTACATCTTAGAGGATCAGAGCGGGAGGGAGGAGATGGGAGATTTGTCAGGGATGTGGGATTCCTTGGCCCCTGATGTTACCTTCTTAAAGAAGGGCAGGCGGTGGGCGTTGGCCTGGGGGGATGTTACACTGCCTGACATGCCCTTCGAGGAGCGAGCGTCACCCTGGAACTCAGGGGGCTCCTCGGCATCCAGGTCCAGGGGGTCACCGTCAAAGGACCCCGTGGACGTGTCCAAGTGAGCTGGTGATTGGGCGGGTCGGTGGCGCGCGAGCACAGAACAGAGGATGGAGAAGTGGTGCAAGCAGCATGAAGCCAAGAGAGAGAGAGATTAGAGGAGACAACAGAGAAAAGGCAAGAGGGGGAAGAATGAAAAGAAAGAAAAATGTGAGAGGTACTCAAAAGAGACAAAAGATGGTGACATAGTAGGATTTGAAGAAGAAACACATCAGATAATCATGAGGCAGAGCGCAGGTGTAGCGTTTCACGACCATAACGGCAGAGAAGATGGTGAATTCACCGTACAAGCAACTAAAGTTGAAGTGAGGAAAAAGGAGAGACTGCAGAGGAAACCGAGAGACAGTAGGCGGGAGGAAAAAAGAACCAAGCGAAAATGCAGCAGAAGGGTTTGAGCTGTTGGTCGTGACGGTGGACAGCGATGGCTTTAAAGGCTTTCTTTGGGAAATGGGGAGATAATCTAATTCATTTTTGATGGGAGGTTAGAGGTAGCAAAAGACTTTTACACCCATCTTGGCTAGCAACTTGTCAGCTTAGTTCATCGCAGAGCTAGAAATGTGATAAATGACATGGCAGCTTATAAAAAACAGCTGGAGGTGGACGCATATGGCTAAAACAAAATTCCCAAAATGCTAACTTTTCACTTCACAGTCAGGTACGAGCCTCTGCACAGAAGTTCACTTTGATGAAGAAAGAAATTGATTTTTTTTCTCCATTATCACTTCCGATAGGCGGCTCTGTGTCATCCCTGTGAAGCAAACTCGCACAAACCAGACTACTTAACAAGTTTAATGAGTGTGGTCTATTCTCATCTCTATTTCAGTCCCGTCCTGCCTGCTAATGACACGCCTCCTAAGACTTCTCTCACTTCTCGCAGCAACCCGCTGACACGCAGTGGGATTAATCATCATGCCTGAATAACTAGCCAATTAATATCTTCATCTGAAATATCAGGGGCCTGCCTCGACTCATTTGCTCTCGCAGTCAGGGAGCAGCCGACGGGAAGTGCTGTGGCACTCGACAGAGACGTTCTGGAACCTCACCTGTGCCGGGGGGAGTGGGCCTGCGTGTTCCCGTAGCGACATCCAGACTAGAACTTCCTCCTGATTTACTGTCACAGTCAAAGCAAACACAAATACGTTATATGGTTTCGGTAGCAGTAATCATATCCAGTGTCATACTCATCCTAAACCGGCTTAGTCAAAATGTCTTTAAACCTTTTTAAGATGATGATAGTAAACACATAAACTGCTGGATTATGTCTGTAAACACAGGGGGAAAATGGAGATCCACTTTTACACCGCAGAGGAAAAAAAGTGACTCACGGCAGCACTTTTGTTTAGTTTAGAATGATTTGCGTTGCCTGGTAGATGAGGAGTGACTCATGTTGGACCTATTTTGAAAGTGGGGTTGATGTTTGCCTTTCCGACACTGTAAATAAAGAGGGCCTCTCATGCTCACCTGGAGCTGAGCCGGTTTTGTCTCATCCGTTGTTCCTGCAGCAAACGGGTGTTCTCCAGCTTGACGGGGCTGGGAATGAAGCCCACCTCACAGCCCTCCTTCACCAGGCGCCCGATCCACCAGTCGTTGTTGTACTTCTGCATGCACAGTCAGACAAAAGTAAGCAGTGACACACATTTTCTGTGAAAGACCTTTAAGCACTGTAGCTAAAACGATAAGATACTTTCTTTATTTTTTTTGCCCAATCTCGATTGAACTACTACCAAATATGCATCACCTATTTATCGCTGCACTGCAGATTGTGTTGCTGCCAACACCCACTCATGACCTGGCTATGGTTTACACTGAAGGAGGCTTTGCAGCAAGATGCAGCGAAGCATGAACCCTCATTTGGTTTTCCACCCACCATCACCGCTTGCTGTTTCAAGGGGGAGAAGCTTGAAGCTGCGCTGTTGAAACACTCTGTCCTACAACCAGAGTTCTCTGACAGTCAGCAAGATTACAAGACAGCCGAACATAGTTATAGTTACTGGGATTTAAACTGGACCACTGTCCAGTGTTCAGAGGGAGAAAAGTAGCTGAATGAGGTGTGTGAGATCCTGTAAATCATATAATTGTAATTATCTCCTGCATAAATAATTATGCAGGAGATAATTATACTTATAAGATGATCTGAAGCTTTTCTTGGATTAGTGACGGTCTGGGAATGCTTAAAGCAGCTGAAAGTTCGCACAATATTTGATCTGATCATTCTCAGGTCAAATTTCTGACAAGTTTAATGTTCTGGAAAAAGAACCAGAAGTGTGTAAGTCCAGATGTCAGACGCTCGGCTTCATGCAGTTTTTTACACTCTGCTCATGGACGTGAACCTTAAAAGATGAGTTTTGGTCGGACAAACGGAATAATCTGTACCTTTTTATTGAATCAGTGCTACTGGACAAGAGTAAGTAAATATACGGCGACGTTCAAACCTCTTTAATGTGCAAGAAGTCTTTGGCTTCGAAGGAAATGGCCATGCCCTGCACGGGAACGTCATCACTGGGGCCCGGGTTGTAGCCGACATTTGTGCGCACAGCAAACGCCACTGGTTTGGTCTGCAGCCATGATGAGGAAAAAAAAAAGAAGTCCAGAGCTGAGAGCCAGAGCAGACTTGGCGTTTACACAAATTCCCCCAAAAAACAACGACCAGCCACGCCACATATGTAAAAAGCTCTACCGCAGCAGATACCTGACCTTCGCTTTCTCGAGTGTGGCGAGAGCCTGTCTGTCGGCCTCCTTCCTCAGAGCCTCGGGATCCTCTTCCAGGGACACGTCCGAGTCCGACGGCCGGCTGGTGTAGGAGTCTGCCGAGCCCTGAAATGCACAGTGAATGCACATAAAGGAGAGTGGGAACAGCCTGCGAATCAGAATTTGTTAACAAAAAATGTACGGCCTGAAACAACATGTGGAACTCTCAACGGTTCATATCATGCGGGAGTCTGTGTAGGGAGCCTGTTTTTTCATCTGGCCACCGGAATCCTGTACTCTGGTGCTCTTTACTGTACATTCCCACATGCCTCCTGTTCCTGAGCTTTCAGGAATGCTTCAAGAAGTGAAACCCACATCACCAGGACATGGGCCCCCCGGCCTTCATCTTGCATGTAAGCTGAGTCTGTGTAATTTGAGGAAACGATACATAACAACCAGCTGATATTTTCTCTGAAGCTCCAGCGCAGTCCAGGTCTTAAATCCTTATGCAAAAGGCACAATAGATTCAGTGTGTGGGTGTGCCAAGCACATAGAGAAACATGGATAGAGAGGAAAAAATGGGCCGGGGACCGTTTATAATATCAGTGAGGATATAAATTTCTCATGAAGTGGCTACAGTTTCCAACACATTCACCACTCTTGCAGAGTAACTTGACTCTCGCCTGCTGACCCCAATGCAGACACCCATGCCACAATAAAAACCGGCTCCTTCTGTAAGCCTGCAGCACAAACCCGAAGTACTGTTCAGCTTCTGAAGAGTTTGAGTGTTCAATTTATATAACAATCCCACTTGTTCTCTTGTTTCTGTGTTTTTTTTTTCTGCTGACAGGTTGCTTGGCGCATTGTAGGAGGTACTGACAAGAATGTGAACAGCTGAATGTGCCAGGCAGGAGAAATGAGTCACTAGGTGTAGGTTTTTAAAATAGAGGTGAGAATGCACAAAGATGACATATACCATATGTAATGTTGATTGAAAATCCCCTGCACATTTGTAGTCAGACATCACACTTAGCGTGTCTCTGAAGACATGCCAGGTGCCATTCGTTTGGTTTCAGAACTGCTAACACAGTTAACTGTCCATGAGTTTCACAAAGATAGTTGGCTCTAAGCATCAGTGTCTAAAAAAAGACTGATGATCAAAAGTTATATATATTTCACAAATCTTACTCTGAGAGTCAAAGCTAGCTGGAATTGAATCTTCCAAGTTGTTGTCAAAGGGCAGGTGAATTCCAGGAGCAATTCTCAAGAGGTTATGGGGAATAAATGTGCTCTACTGAATACTTACTGTATTTGCTGCACTTGATCATGAGAGGTACAGTTAAACACAGTCCTGATCTTGTCCTAAACACTAGGTGAAGCTAAGAAATAAAGCAAGTTTAAGATTTTGCTTTGTTTTCTTGTTTTAAAAAAAAAATGTTTTAACAACTTCACTACATGTTCTTTAGATGGTAAAATCTCGTTCTGATGCAGATTGCACAACTGCAGCTTTCAGGTTAATTTACGACAAAACAACACATAATGTTTGAAGGTCAGGGCTAAAAGAAACCCTGCATCGGATCATAAACATTAATGGCTGTCTTTTTCCATCTTAAATGGGTTGCTTGCTCAGATATTTAGGCTATTTTGAACCTTTATTTTCTCTGGTTACACGGGTGGTTGGATAACATTGAAAGAGCAAATAATTAAAGGTTGGTGGTTCGTTCCCAGACCACTTTAGTGCCTTTAAGGAAGATACTTAACTGAAAACTGTCCTGGATGGACTCAATGACAAACAAGTACACTCAAACAAAATAAATAAATAAATAACTTAAAAGTGCCTTGTGAATGCAGCCGATCTCAGAAATAGCTGTAAATGGTCAAATAAATGATCAGCATTTGAATGCGATCACTTTACCAGCGACTGTGTAAATATTCATGTATTTTATGCACACTATCTCAGTGGATCTGTTCATTAATAATAGAGGACCCTGTTAAAAGGAGCTGCTCAGACCCAGTATAATAGTGTGCCCTGTGTGATTGGAGCATAAGTGGACAGCTAAACAGTTTTGTATTCTTATGGTCATCCTGCCCGATGACTTGTGATCGGATCTCATTCATTATGAGCAAATTAACACATAGCACTGACAAATTTCAGTCTTGTGAATCTGACTTTTCTCTCATCTCCTTTGTAAACAGACAAAATAGCAATGATGAATGCTCTGTGATAATGCAGATCTCAGAGAGCATGTCTGTGGACCAGAAGCAACACAAAACTGAATCTTTTAAACTTGAAAGGCAGAAAACACAAAATAAAAAGAGACTTTACTGCAACTTTACACATCCAAGGCCATGCACACTGTTCAGCAATATATAATAAACCTTATTAGTTCCAGTTACTCTGCGCTAAACATTTGTGGGGAAGCACATTAGGAGCCAACTCCCAGGACCCAGAAAATATCTGCTGCTGGTCACTGCCACTGCAGGAATAAACAGGAAAGGACCAGAGGAGGTTTCTCTAAATTATATTAAAGTTCAGATGTCGCTTTGCGAATGATCTTTTTTCTCTCAGCAACCAAAGAAGTGAGAAAAACATCACAGAAAAAAACTCTGCTGTTTGCACCCAGTGCACATGTGAAGATCCCACCTCTAATTATAGAAGAAGAAAGGACTAATCTTAGAGATCAAATAAGTTCATGAATATAAAACTAAAATGAAAGCTTATTGCAACAAATGCATCAAAGTCTGCATTACAGAACTCTGAGATGGACACACCCTGACAAATAAGACGGAATTACACATGAAGGATGCTTAATCTTAGAAGAAAACTGATAAAGTTACAAAACAAATCTTACTTGATAGGTGACCATTTTGACTTTGTAGAGAACAACAAAAAATGTGTCAAATGTTTATATTTTTTCTGTATTTTATTTTGAATGAGAAAGAAAAAAATGAAATAAAAAAGTAAAGGATCTGGGGAGATGGCATTATCTCAAAAGAAATGTGGGTCTCTTTTTGTCACTTTATCCCATTTACGGATTAGTGGTGCTTGGTGATGCTGAGTTCAATTTGTCAGGGTGATAAGGCCACATGTCTTATCATATCAACTCAATGACATGATCACAATGGATCTCAAAATAAATGTTCAGAAATTAAATCTATTAAATTGTTTAAACACGGCTTTATTTATTTTTTTATTTTTACAAATAACAACAATGATTTAATATCCTCAGTGTGGTGATTTCATCACTTCTGCTGAGGGTTGTATTTTTTTCTGTTAAAGTGCTCTATCTATCTGTCTTTATGTGAACAAGCAGCAAAAAGCCTTTTGTGACACCACGGGGGGCTGTGTGAAATCTGAAGTGTTGGAGAAAGATGAGACATGTTTACTCAAGAACTGTGCCGAAATACAGCTTTTGCTTGCACGGTCGTTTAATCTTTTGCTTCATCTTTTAACAGTTTCTGTTATGCCTGTTATAGGATATTAAGATATTACAGCATTTAAAAAAATAACAAAACTTTAAAAGGGCTGTTTGAAACTGGCCTCCAGCTTCGAAAGGGCCAGTATATAGCCAGTAACAGCTAAACTAAACAAAGTTGCATCTCACTATACCTCCAAAGATTTTTCTGCCAAAGATTTACCAAAAAAAGTAATGAAATCAATCAAATCCCCCCTCAGACTGAAGCTCAGGACTAACTTAAAATCTCACAGGACGTTTTTGGCCGTCTGTTTCTTCTGATACCAATCACCAAAAAAATTCATTTGTGAAATGCTTTTGACCGTTGCAGAAAGTAAATGCAAGGAACAGCAAATATTCTATGATAATATTAGTCTCTGGTTATCAGGAGATTGGGCTTTAAGTCCTCGCTTTTATCTCTGTTTTGTGTTGTGTGTTCTGCTCATTTATCTGGAAAGACGTGATAGAAGTCTATGATATATTGCAAACTCAGGGGCAATGTTTCCCGTCTGTTTCCCCCAGCGAGTATTCAAGAAATATATAGAAAAGTGGAATCTTTACAGAAGTATTAATGAAATACCTTGGGATATATTTCATGACTGCATTTATCTTAACATATCTTTAATAAATCTTTAAAATATGCGCATATCAAACTAAACACCCAACTGAAGTTAGTGGTCTAAGTTAGGGGTCTAAATATATCCAGAGAAAAAACGGGCCACGCATTAAGGACCTTGGTGATGTGTCAGAGTTTGTGCACGCATTGGACTGTGATTAATCATCCTCCATGCATCCCATCACCACACGTGTCACGGGCCTTTTTAAAAAACGATACAACAAACGCTAATGTTGATTCTGGCCGGGCCACCTGTCGCGCTGAAGCTCGCTGTGACTTGGCAACGGCACACCGAATGCAGACACTCCCCCCCCCCCCCCCGTTGCCGGGGCGATGGCGGGCTGCTCGTCGCATCCTCGGGTCCTCGCAAACCGTCCCCACTTCCTGTTTCATTTACTCAAACACTCCCCTCTCAAGTGGGAGGATTGATACGGCGGGTGTCATGTAGCATCCAGCGAGGACAGCAACATCAGCCCCCACTTAGCTTCTCTCTTTTCTGAGTCATCCAGGTGAACCGCACAGGTGCATCCCCGAGATGGAGCGATTCATAGGTAGCCCATGGAAATGTTTTTCGAGAGAAAAAAAAGAAAAGAAAAGAAGCTAGAATCACGTCAGCAATAACCTTGGGATAACCTGCGCACTACAGCAGATGACAATCCAGCCACAGCAAGTAGGAGTAGGAAGAAGAGGCGTTAGTGTAATCTTCTCGCTCTGAATCACTCGACCGTTTGATTCACGGCGCACACAAGCAGGAAAAAAAAGAGACCGAGGGACACAAAAGTAAATATTTGGCCGACGAGGGCAGAGATGACTTAGACTCAACTAACTCCCAAAGCTTTCTCTCCCCCTAAAGCCTGTCAGAAATAGCTGATAAAATGAGCAAGCATGTGAACTAACTTCCTCCACATTTTCATTTCTTTTGGCTTTGTCCACTTCTTCTTGTCTGATGTCATTAGGTGGTGTCTTTAATTTAGATGCTTGCTTCACTCCACATACAGCTCTGTTCAAAATAGCAACATGCCACCTGATGGCGGAGCTGCTCTTCCATTGGCTGGGTCACTGTAGAGAATCCAGTGTCATAGTAACCGGCGCTGCCACTATGGTTATGAGCAGCCAGTGACGGCTGCTCCAGGAAGACCTAGGAATCGATTAAAACTGAAAATGCATGACAGGAAAATATGAGGCAGGGGAAGCTGTATGAACAGCTTTTAATTAGGTGTTTTCTCCCAATTTGTGAATCAGATATATCTACGTTTTAAAGGTATATGAGGAGATTTTCATATGGAAATTTCACTTCCTTTGTAAAAAGACAATCTAACCCATGTGTTTCTGCATAAAATGCTTAATGGCAGTGTGAAACACATTAGTAGTCCTTCATTTTTCTACATTGTGTCCACTACCATGAAGGATCTACAGTCCCCTTTGCATCGATACAGACTAAATGGAGTCAGGAAAAGAGAAACTAAACAGAGCAGGGTAATAGAATAAGGAATGAGGGCGGGATGGCAAAACACAAAGGCTTTGAATAATGAGGGCTGAAAAGAGTCACCCTCCAGCAAGGAAATCAAATAACATAGTTTCTTCTGATCCAGCAATTAGAGGGAAAACAGACAAAGGGGAGCAGCTGAATGAATAAAGCAGGTTTGTTTTTTTGCAAGGCTAGGAAAATATCAATTTTGTGATATTTCTGTCATCATTCCTCTATTCTAAATTTAAAAAAAATACAAAAAACTTCCAATCATTTGTGGCAGGTAGCAGGGCAGTTTAAAAATCTGAATCTGTTACTGCAACAGGAACATCACCGCAGGTGCTGCCAGACTTCACAACGCATGACTGAGAGGTGATTACCATCAGAAAAATAACACATACTGCAACTCCCTGCCCTGATAATTAAACGGATAAAAATATCTTCACGCTTATCACACCAGACGATGTGAAAACCAGACAAAAAGAGGCAAAAGTGAGAACCTCCAGTGTCTTCTCTGACTTCACTCCTCCCATCCACAGTTGTCACACGCGTATTTCATCACCTAAAAAACTACTCTGCACAAGACCCCGAACCTCTTATAATATACAGCACGTAGAGTGAATTACTCATTAAAGATTGCATGAGGGAGACAGGAGGCTGGAATAGAGGGGGAAGGAACAAAACTTATTTACAGCAGGACAGCTCCACGTACAAAGGACAGATTTCCCGTCTGAAGCTCTTGGCCGGCGGCTGTAAATGGCCACATTCCCTTTCTCTGTCACAGCAGCGTCATGGCAACAAGCTGGACGGCTTGGAAATAACCAGAAAGATGAGTCACGGACTGGACTAAGCAGAAATCCCCGTTTTCAGAGAGCAGAACAGGGAATCCAACAGCAGGTGAAGCTCAGTCCGTACTGATTTTTCCAAAAAGGGATTCAACTTGAGCAGGTTACAAAGACTTTTTAAAAAAGCAGTTAGCCAAACAATAGAGTTGATATCACTTTCACGTTATGCTGAAAGAATGAGATATGAATTGGCATATTAGTACAGTGGTAAGCAACCTAATGATGATGAATTCTGCGGAATTCTTTGGTCTGATGGATCGGGGGGAAAAAAACAGTCTGAGTTGTTGACAAGATAAATGTGGCATGGAACAAAACATTACTAGCAGCTGAGCCTGTTCAGCAGAGTCGATACCTCATTTCTTGGCATGTAAACAAAGCTCTTATGTTCATTTAAACTATATGATCGATATGCGCCACTGTTGCTGCTGTATCTGCGGGCCATTCTGCGAATGCTTTGGCATACGTGCTGTTTAAACGGCGAACTCTGTGCACCTCTGGTGTGTGCGTGTAAATGGCGCCGGCCCAGGTAGGGTGGAGGCAACGTCATCCTGAAGCTGGAAACAGTGGGACAGGCCCAGCCTGATATCAGATAGCATGTCCATGTGTAAAACTGCCGATTTTAGATATCCGAATGTCATGTATCAGTGGAAAGTTAACAAACGGCAGTTGATCCTTGACCTTTTGCCGGAAAAATGACAAATATAGTAAGTATTTAGGATTAAAAGCATTTAAAAGACGTTGTTAAAGCCTCTTTCAGCTCCTAATATAGTGTTTTCCATTACTTTGCTCTTACATGTAATGACACATATAATAGAAAAGATTAAAAAAATAAATGTCCCACAATCATCTAAACTCTGTAACCGAAAAGAACCGATACAATGTGAGATTCTTCTAACTTTTAGTTATGATTGAACTTCTACAGTCTCAGTGTCACTGCAACCAGAACCAACTCAGGCCCGTCAGGGACTTGAGGGCAAGACTGAAATCCCCCGAAATGGCCACGCTGCTCAGATGGCCGGACAGTCAGAGCACGTAACTGTAAGAGACAACCAGTGGGACTGGAAGTCTAATTAAAAACACAGCGCCTCTCCAGCAGCTGTGTCCTGGCCCAAAATGGAATCACACAGTACAGTCGGAAGAGGGGGAGCAAAGGCAGCCGCAAATGCTATCAGAACAGAAATTAAAATCGCACCTCTTTTTTAAAAGTAAAAAAAAAGTATTTTGGACTTTCAGAACTCTTTTCAAACACCAGGAAAGGCAGAAATATGAAGGCTCTCATAACGGGCTTCCAGCTGGGTTGGAGGCAGCTAAACGTGCAGCCTGTAGATTTATCCGGATCATTCTTACCATTACGGGCCTCTGAATCCTCTCAGTCCGCTCCATACCGAGCTTGCCAAGCTTGCCGTGCCACGGCAAACTAAGAGGGCAACGCCAGACTCCCCGCACAGAGTTTTCCCTCTGTGTGTGTGTGTGTGTGTGTGTG